TCAAGATTGGCCAGCGCAAGCCTGTCCTCCACGGCGTCACGAGAGCCCTACAGGACGACTCTCAGAACCGTACGTGAATCGCCCGCCTCGAGTCGGGGACAGAGCTTGAGGCAGCGCTGACGCTGCAGAGCTAGCGTCCCCGACTCTATTCCAGACCGCGTTCTCCCTCGCGGATAAAGTCGCGCTGGTGACCGGAGCGAATCGCGGGCTCGGGCTTGAGGGCGCTCTTGCGCTCGCGGAAGCCGGCGCACGGGCGGTGTATTGCGTCGACATCGCGAACACGCCTAGCCATGAGTTCACGAAGGTGCAGGAGTTTGCAGCGCGCATGCACGGAGGTGCGGCCGGACGGCTGGAGTATGTCTGTGCGGACGTTAGTGACCAGGTGCGTGTCGCTCGCTCTGGGTTTGTCCTCCCGGGGCTGACGCGGGTGTGCGTGCGCGTGTAGGAGAAGATGTGGAAGGTGGGAAAGATGATTGGGGATAGGGAGGGGCGTATGGATGTGTGTTTTGGCGCTGCCGGGATTGTGGGCGAGCCTTCGGAGAGCCTCCACACCCCGGCGGCGAGCGTGCAACAGGTCTGTCTGCTTTGGGCTAGTGTATCCTGACGTCGGCACCGAAGCTTCGCTGACGCGTGTACCGTAGATGGTCAACGTGAACCTCCAGGGCGCGCTGTACACCGCGCAGGCGGCGGGCCAGCAGATGACGCGGTTCGGGAACGGCGGAAGCATCGTCATGGTCGCAAGCATCATGGGCAATATCAGTATGGTGCGTGTAACTTAGTAGCTGCCCGGGCGCCACGTCCTCTTGGCTGCGCTGGTGATTGACATGCTGGCTGCTTGGCAGAACGTAGGGCTGACGTCGTACGAGGTGTCGAAGAGCGGTGTGCAGCAGATGGCACGTAGCCTTGCGTGCGAGCTCGCGCCGCAGGGCATCCGCGTGAACACGATCAGCCCTGGGCTGTTCAGAACTCCGTCAGTGTTCTCTGTGCTTGTGGGGTGTTGCCCGGCTGGTGCTGACACAGGTCACTGCAGGATGGTGGACGCGTTGTTTGAGGACGCGCCTGAGAAAGCGAAGGCGATCGCGGACATGACCGCGTTGAAGCGCATGGGGGTGCCGCACGAGATCCGGGGCGCGGTTGTGTGGCTTGCGAGTGAGGCGAGTTCGTTCTGCACGGGCAGTGAGTGAGTGTGCTTGATTTGCTTGGTGCTTTGAAAGTCTATGGCTGATGTGTTGTCAAGTCTTGTGGTGGACGGCGGCCACCGGGCTGGGGGGGTGTGCTGACAAGATACTCAGATTGGAGGTACCCGGGCCGTGTATCCAGCAAAGGCTTCTGATGTATGTCGTCATTCTGAACACTGTCGAAGCCATACGAAGACCTGGAGAGATATTTGAGGAATGCTTTTCCCGCCTTGACCGGAAGTCAGTGCAGTGAAGCCGGCCAAAACTGAATGAGGTACGCTAGTTCGTCACCTCCGAGCGCCTGCGAGAAAGTTGAGGACGCTCGCACGGGGAAACACTGTCAAAGAAAGGTGACCGGCCAAACTCACCGCGGCGTCTGTGGGTTGTATCCCCGCACCGGCATTCCCACTATGCATGGAGCTCGGCCAGTGTGCGACGAGGCAGATCACGCGCACGGAGGGTCAAGGGTCGTTCTCGTACTGCCTATGCTTTCTCCCCGTATCCGGGGTGATTCCATGCCAGGAAGCGCTTTGTGAAGGCATATTAATGACACACCATCATGGACCTTGCTGCGACTAGGGAATCTGACCAGGCTTGCGGTACGTCCTCGCAGTCCTCCAGTGGAGCAGTGTGCTCACCTGCGTACCCGAAGATACGTCGGCACAAGCACAAGAACTGACATGGCCTCCGTCTCGGCGCTCCTCAAACGACCCCGGTGCTTTCCAAGAGTCGACATAGGTCGGCGCGCCATGCTCTCCACCACCGCATCCCGCAGAAACGACGCAGCGACGCCGCCACCTCTGGGCGTCGCACGCGCACTCCAGGACACCTCCTCCACGCGTGCGCGTCCCGTGCCCCCCATCTCTGCGTACAGACTGCAGCTGACCACCCGCACCACACAGCGCCGCCGACGCTATTCTCCAGCGAGTTCTCGCTCGCGGACCGCGTCGCGCTCGTGACGGGCGCAAACCGCGGCCTCGGGCTCGAGGGCGCGCTCGCGCTCGCGGAGGCCGGCGCGCGGGCGGTGTACTGCGTCGACGTCGCGGACGCGCCGAGCGAGACGTTCAGAGCGGCACAGGCGTTTGCAGCGCGTCTGCGTGGGCCGGATGCGGAGAGCCCGCTGCAGTATGTGCAGGGGGACGTGGGCGACCAGGTGCGTGCGTCCGTGCGCGGCGGGCGGTGTTGTGTGCTCATACGTCGTGCGCGGGTGTAGGAGCAGATGTGGCGGATTGGGCGGATGATTGGGGATAGGGAGGGCCGGATGGACGCTTGTGTTGCGTGTGCGGGGATCGCGCCGGAATCCCAGAAGAGCATGTACATCCCCGACGACGGCTTGCAGAAGGCGAGTGTGCCTACATCAGGCTCGGGGGATAGGTAGCGTGTATACGATTCTGACCCCTCTGTCATAGGTCCTCGATGTGAACCTGAAGGGCGCGCTGTACACCGCGCAGGCGGCGGGGCAGCAGATGGAGCGGTTCGGAAACGGCGGAAGCATCACGTTGATTGCCAGTGTTGCTGGTCATCTCTCTGTTGTGCGTCGATCTTCCATCGCTCCGGTATTGAAATGATGGCTCTGACGTTTCGGAACCTCTAGGACATGGGAATGACACCGTACGAGATGTCGAAGGGCGGGGTGCTCCAGCTGGCACGGAGCCTTGCATGCGAACTTGCCCCCGAGCGCATCCGGGTCAACACGATCAGCCCGGGGTACTTCAGGACGCCGTGCGCAGTGTACCTTTCTGCCGCGCTGTGTACTGGGCGCTGACTTGGACTGCTACAGGATGGTTGATATTCTGTACAGAGAAAATCCGGAGTGGGCACAGCGGCTGGCGAACAGGTCGGCGTCGAAGCGGACGGCGGAACCGTACGAAGTACGGGGTTTGGTGGTCTGGCTTGCGAGCAGTGCGAGCTCTTTCTGCACGGGGAGCGAGTAAGTGTCCAAATTCCTATTCGCATAAAACTGTCTAACGCGCTCACTTGTTCTCCGTGGTAGCATTACGATTGATGGTGGATATCGGGCGTGTTAAGGCCTCGGATTGTGAGAGATGCAAGGAGTTTCAGGGAGAGGTGTACGGTGTGCTCGCATTTGAAGGAGACACTTGTATTACATCTACCTAGGAATAAGATATGCCCGCGCTTTGACGTGTCAAATGCGTACTGGGATACTCGGCTACGAGGATTGCTAGTAAGTACTTGAGGTTTTTAAAGGCTGGCGTAGCTAATACTCGCCGTATCGGATGCAAACATCTCACAAAGGTTTTTCATACTAGTCACAATAATGTTTATTACATAGAGACCGAAACATGTGTCAAATTCCATCACTTCGTACACTGTGAACACCGAGCTGGGCAGCTTCCAGCCTTGAGTCGTGGGATGATGGAGTCGGCTTGATCTCCCAGTAGTAACCAAAACCGCACGGACTCGACCTGAGGATATTTATTAGAGACGGGTATGAAGAGGAAAGCATGTCGACCATACGGGTGGGAAGTCGCGGTAGCATGACTACGTACTCCCGTCGAGGGTGGCCGGCTTCAAGTCGGGGACGTTCAGCAGGCGCTTCGAGTGGCGGCAGTTGAGGTCTTGGACTGGGCAAAAGCTTGAGATATCGTTGTTCGGGCCACTCGTGGCGCGTGCAACCGGCTTAAAGTCGGCGGCCAGGACGGATGCGGGGACCACGGCGACTGCGGGGTCAACGGTGGGGGCGTGGACCACGGTGGGAGAAAGAGTCTCGGGGGCCAGGGCGGATTTAGGGCCAACGGCCGGGGAAAGAGTGGAGTCGGGGGCCAGGGCGTGGGCGTGGACCACGGCGGGAGAATGATCCTCAGGGGTAAGGGCGGGTGCCGCACTTACGACAATGGCCTGCGCAATGATAGCGAGAGCAACTGTAGCACGGAGGGAAGGCATTGCAGTACTGAATGAGTATAAGAGGCGGTGCGGCTGAAGTACCAGAGGTGCTGTGAGTACTACAGGTGGTGTCGAGGACTCGACGGTGGGTGTGGCCGAGCATATCGCCCACCTGGGCTTTTATATCTGTCCCCAAAGGCTGTGGTGGGCATTGAATTCATGGCTTGTGAAGTCGGAGTACGGCCTCACCAACCAGGGTGGCCTTTGCTGCCGAGACCGCAACATCCATGCGGTGAGTACAGCGGAGAGACATTGAAGCGGTTACTCACGGGTTTGTCCTTCAGTCTTGATGGCTTCGAGGCGGTTTCGGTAGCGCACTTGACTGTGTGCTCACCGTCCGTAGTGCGGGGCCGTGCTGTCAGTTTGCACCATCGGATGGCGCTCCAGCTGAGGTTCCCGTGCCGTGTGTATATATTAGTAGTACGACATCCCGCTGCCAAGTGGTATTACTGTCCACCTGCGCTCAAATGTGCTCGTGATGCACGCGCCGTCCAAGGAGGTGAGTCCGCCATGGGTATGGATGAGGAGGATGAGGAACTCGAGCCGGTGAGTCGCAACGCCGGATCGAGTGTTTTACCTGAAGCCTTGAGTCGCGCTCATGGATCATGACATGATGCATGTGCATCGTTGGCGAGAGTCCTGACCGCTACTTGCAATTGTACAAGGGACTTGGACTCAGATGCACGGCTGGTGAGGAGTGGGCCCCCGTTTGAGACGCATGCAAGATCTGACGAAGGCCGCGCCCCGCTTGCCAGTCGATCGTCGCGCAGGGTCGCGCGTTAGGCGCCAGCTGATAACTCTCGCGGATCGTTATCATTAGATATTTTGATGCAACTACAGTATACACCGGTGAGTTACTTGTATACAGCTAATGCTGGCAAGCACTAGCTCACAGCGATCGCGCGGGCCAAAAAGAAAGGGCCTAACTGGGAATTGAACCCAGGACCACTCGCACTCGGAAGCACCCAAAGCGAGTATCATACTTCTAGACCATTAGGCCTTCCTCGACTGCCGCCCAAATGCATTGTGTAGCGTCGCGTCTTGTTTGACGTTGTTGACGCGCGTCGCCCGGGTCGCGATCACGTGGGCCGCGCCGCGTGCAGGCGCCGGCAGTGCGCTTGAGCTGAGCCCAGCTGAGCCACGCGTGTTCATCCTCCTTGCTCTCCCTCCTCCCTCTCCCTGGCCGCAACATGCCGCCGACTACCAAGTCCCGCGCTGCTCCCGCGCGCACGACACGCGCGACTTCGTCTACAAAGTCTTCAAAATCACCCGCCGCCTCCGCCGTCTCGCCTGATGAGCTCGCAGACTCCCTCGCTTCCAAACTCTCCATCTCCGACCCCAAAGGTAAGGCAAAGCCTGCAGATACCACTCCACAACAGCGCAAGGCAAATGCCATGCGCTCTGTCAACGCCGCCTCCAAGAGTCTCTCCTCCCTCGCAGAGTCCGGATGGAGAGCCTCCGATGGAAAGTCTGACAGGACCAATGCCGCTGCCGCTGTCAAACACGCAGCCACCGCACGTAAAGAGCTTGGAATACTCCGCAAAATTGGGCCGGGTGAGCTCGATGTAGAGCGTGCGGCATCTAGTGTCGTCGGGAAGCTCATTAGCCTTGAGATGGTCAGTTCTACCTCCTTCGTCTCGGCCATTCTCCTTACTCCACCACAGTATCAAGCAGCATCTGGCGTGCTACAAGACATGCGCATTCCCCTTGTCGCGCTCTATCACTCTGAACCTCCACCTGCCCCCACTCACTCTCTGCACGACCTCATCTCGCTGCCTCTTTATGACGGCCCAATCTCAGAACTCCATCTAACTCTCATATCCAACTATCTCTTGCATACCCTGACTGTCGCCCTGCAAACGACCACTGATTTGCCCGCTCTCCTCGTAACCCTGCACGATTCTGCCACTCATTCGCTGCTCGCCTGGGCCACGGCCCTCTCCCATCTACCTGAGAAACAACATGACCACATCTTTACACGTGCATACACTGTCGCCTCTCGCCTCGCCGCTTCCTCAACCAGCCCACCGGCATCCGCATATTCTCTCAGGATATACTCCTTGCTCTTCCTAGCGCACACTCGACCCTCTGTTATTGCTCCCAACACATTCTGGGAGCAAGCGACCAAATTTACCGCCGCTTTCGCAAACATGGACTCCGCCAAGCCATTAGAGGGTGCCCGTGCTGTCTTGGAGGGCTCTGCGCGTCTCGTCGCGCATACCGAGCAAAGAAGCGATCGCGCAGATTTCATGGCGGGCCCGGCGTTTGCGCGGTTCTGTGAATACTGGAGCAGGTTTGCGAAGCAGGTGTGTTTGATACCTAGGTGCTCGATCGAGGTCTGTAATAACGCGGCTCGTTCAGGCTGGCGACCTGCGCACTTTCGAACAAATTAGCGGACTTACAAAGGCTAGCAGCGGCGGCGCAGAGACCGATGCGGACCGTGCGGTCATCGAGGCATCGGCACTGTCCACGACGCTAGCTCGTGCTCTCGCCATATTTGAGGCCTGGCAGGGTACGAGCCCTTCGATGTCTTCATCTCCCTCAGCCACGCTCATATAGATAGCAGACCATACTGATGATATAGTTGACAAGCTGAGGGAAGCATTCAGCGCGATCAGCCGGTGCAGCTCGTCCCTGGGGCAGCCGGGGGAAGATCATGACCGCGTCAAGCGAGGGGTAGAGAGGTTGCGTCGCGCAGTTATGAAGATCATCGAGCCCCCGACATCTTCGAATATAGACTACCCACCATCAATACGGACATGCGCGCGCGCGATGTTGGAACAGATTGTGGACGCGCTTTGCGAGCAGGTATGCACAATAACCATCTGTCTCTGCTATACGACAATTTACCCGGCGTTCAGAAAGCAATTTATACGTCGACGATCGTCACTGGCGCCGTCGAGAGCCTCTTCGCGCTCTCGCGCACCGCATTCGTCCTGAACAATCCCGACACCTACGCCACAGCAGGCAAGTACCTGGAGCGCGCCACCGCGCTCGTACACAGCGCATCACAGCCCTCGCACAACGCCGGCTCAGATGTCGCGTCGTCCTCGCAGTGCACCACGCCACAGGTGTCATCGACTTCACTCACGCGCCAGCAGCTCGCGAATTACACGCGCTGCATTGCGGGGGCGTACTACAACTGCGCGCTGCAGTTACACCAGAGCGGGCGCCTCGCGCACGCGGTGCCATTTCTGGAGGAGGCGTGTGCGCGAGCGGACGCGGCGGTGCGGGAGTATCGCTCAGCGGGGGCGCTAGGGGACAGCGAGGACGGGGCGGCAAAGCGGGAGGTGTGGAAGCAACTGGAAGAGCAGCTGTGCAGGCGGTGGGAGCTTCTGGCCGTGTGCCACGCGAAGACGGGGGATCGGCAGGTGCGCATTTTGTGTCTGGGCATACGAAGTAGGTGGGTCTCTGTGAACTGATCCGCGTGCTTCGCTGTAGCTCGCGTACGATGCGTTCGTGAAGAGCATTCGCGCGTTCCCATACGCGCTCCATGATGTCGCCGAGCTCGCGGCCAAAACCCCGCCATCGGCGTTCTTCGAGGCATCCGCGCCGGGCCCGCTGAAGCATCTCGCTGCGCTCGTCGACCGCGTCACGTACATGGCCGCGTGCGAGCTCTTTCGTGCTCCGGAGACGATCCCTGTCTCGGCGTGGCCGGAGTTCAGCGACGCCCTGCAGGGCGAGCACGCGGCCATTGTTGGTGTGCTCATGGAGAGACAGCTGACGTGTTTGGAGGAATGCAGGTGGAAGGAGGGCGTCGGGGCGGTCATGGATGCGATCTTGAACAGCGCAGAAGCGCTCTATGCGAGCGGGGGATGGGCGGTGAGGAGGGCGCGGGTCCTTGTGCGGAGGATGGAGATTGGCTACCAGAGGGAAGGCGGGGATGCATCTTATGCCGATATGAAGCAGCTCGGGGACGAGATCGAGGCGTCACTCGCTCCGGAGGTAGGCCCTTGCGTCCTCTCATCGTAATGTGCGAAGCGTACTGACGGAGCGAGCAGCGCGTCGAGGAGGGTCAGGACAGGCCTCTCGCGCGGTTCGCGCCCGAGATCCGCGCAGCCACACACCTCTGGCTCGCCGCGCACGCGCACAAGGCGCGCGACCCGGCCCTCGCGACGGCGCTCATCGCGCATGTCGACGACGCGTGCAAGATTCTGCGGGCGATGGTGCCTCCCGCCGCGCCCAGACAATCGGTCGGCAAGTCTCCGGCTGTCGGTAAGGGGAAGGGGAAGGCTGTCGAGCCGCCTGCGGCGCGCAGGGGCGGCAGGACGACGCGGGCGGCCGCTGCTGCTGGATCGGGGGCTGAACCGCCGAAGAGCAGGATAGCGGTGGGCAGGACGCGCGCTGCGAAGACGACCACGGCTGTGGTCGCGCCTGTTACGCCTAAACGACGGAGAGGTACATTTTGTCCTGGACGATTTTTGTTTCATGTAGCTGACGGTGGGTAGCTCTGGACCCCGTCTCGCTGAACACCGCGGCGACGGTTACATCGCCAAGGTATGCAGCGCTCGCGGGGAATGTGGTGGGCAAGATGGAGTTCGACGATTTCGAGAGGCTCGTCAAGCTGATCCGTAAGACCCCATTCCTACTCAATCGGCGGAGACAAGGATTTACTGAAGAGTTTGCTTGTGCAGGGATGGCCTCCCACCTGGTTGGTTTGGTGGGACATGTCCTCGCGCGCATCCAGCTGTTGAACGCAGCTCGCCGGCTGACCGAACGTCATACCGGCGTCGCTTCGGAAGGTGAGCATGTCGTGTACGACGAGTAGGAAACCCACTGATCGCCGATAGTCTACGTGTCGCTGACGATCGACACCGCGCACGAGTACGTCAAGCTCGGACGCGCAGAGAAAGCGGCATCGGTGCTGGCGCATGTCCTGCCTGCGATCCGGGGCGGGACGCTTTCACAAGAGGTGGCCATCTTGTTCCTGCTGCGCTATGCAGAGGCCCAGGCGGCGATGGGCGAAGTCCTGAAGGCGTGAGTGCTGCTGTGGTATGGCCGTTGCATTTCCTGACTGTTGACCGTGTAGTGCCATGACGTACTGTGATGCTGTCGCGACGGCGGCAGACTGTGTCGTGGAGGACAAGGCGTTGCCTACCGCTCAGCGTATCCGGGTTCGGACGGCGCTCCTCGAACGTGCGGCTGAGGCCGCGCTGGCCTATGCCGCCATCCAGGACGCGAGGGTGAGCAAGGATGCATGTTTGTGTATCATCGCACTGAGACGTTTCGCAGGATGACCCCACTTCCTCACTGGAAGGCCTCCTGCAAGCCCTGCGCCTGTGGAACCGCGCCGTCGACACGCTCTCGCGACTGCAGCCACCGCCCACGCCCAAAGCCGCCGCCGACGATAACCCGTTCGAAGTGCGCACGAAACGAGACACGGACACGGCCGTCTCGCCGCTCCCAGAGCCGCGCGTGCTCTCGCCGCACGCGGCGCGCGCCCACGCGTTCCTCGACGCCGCCGGGTGGCGCCTCGCCGAAGGCCTCCTCGGCACGCTGCTCGCGCTCGCGCAGGCGTACGCGGCGCGCGGCTCCGCGCGCGAAGCGGAGTTCTTCGCGCAGCAGGCGCGCGAGCTCGCGCAGGCGCTGCACGCACCCGTCGTCGTCGCGCGCGCGCTCGCGCAGCAGGGCGAGCTGCAGATCCAGCTCGGGCAGCTCGCGGCGGGCCATGCGGCGCTCATGGAGGCCGCGGCGCTCGTGGGGCACCTGCAGGGCCCGGACGCGGCGGAGATCGGGCGCCTGCGGGGGCGGTATAGCCTGCTGAGCGCGGACGCGAAGGGCGCGCAGGTGTTGTTTGAGGAGGCGACGCGGCTGTTGGATGAGCTCGGGGGCGTGTTTGTGGGCTTGGAGGGCGGGAGCAGGTGCGTGCTGGGTTGTGTGCGCGTGTGGGGCGGTGCTGATGTGGGTGCGTAGTGCGCGGAAGAGCGTGGTGGCTTCACCGAGAGCGGGGGACACGCAGGCTCAGCTGTCCAAGTCCGAGAGCGTTCTGGCGCCGACGCT